CAACCTCTAACTCCTGGGCTCAAGCGAGTCTCCTGCCTCTGCCTCCCAAGTAGCTGGGACCACAGGCGCCCGCCACAACGCCCGGCTAAGGATAGATCATTTTAATTAGTCCTATCTAAGTAATTTAGTTGATTGCTCAGAACAACAGCCCTTTTTTTTAAATGAAGCTTTGAAAATACTGTATATGAAAAATTCCTAAAGTTTCTCTCTGATCTAAGTTCTTTTGCTTTTCATATCTTTAATAAGATATAATATGATGAGATGTTTAATAACCTATGCAACCTTTGCAATGTTTCTATCATTGCAAAAGTTGGGCAAATGTGGAAAACTATATACCCAACTGTTTAGTGATAATAACATGTTAGTAAATATGCTCATTAGGAAAAAGAAGGAACAGTTATAGTCACACCAAACTGGTTCCCACCTCAGGGCTTTTGCAATTTCTTTTCCTTCTTCCTGGAATGTTCTTACTCTTCCTAGTTGGTGGTTTTCCTCATCTGGGATTCTGCTCAAAAGTTACTTTCTGAGTCCTTTCCTCATCTGGGTTTCTGCTCGAAAGTTACTTTTTGAGTTACTTTCTCAAAAGTCCAAATGCCTTCTGGACCCTCAGTCTAATACCCTCCCCTTCACCTCCAACTCTGTGATAAGTCACTCTATCATATTCCTTGGTTTTAGTTTCTTCTTAGCACTTATCATGACCAGAAATCACTTATTTGTGTACTTCTTTTCTTCTTTAAGCTTGAGGGAGAGCCAAGCATTTGAACAAAATGGAGGTCTTTGGGGAAGGGAGAAGCAGGGAGGTGCTGTATATTTTGTCTGCTGTTCTTTATTTGAAAGCAGTAGATAATGGTAATGCTAAAATTTTTTCTCCTCTAAATTTTATACTGTTTGATAAAAACTAGTTCAAGATCCTAGGGGTAGAGCAGACTGGAGACCCGCATATATAGTCCTTTAGATAGTCCTGGCTTCTGCTCAAGACCATGAGGAGGAAGAAGCTCCCATTTCAGTGCCCAGCAGGCTGCTATTGACAAAGAGAAAAAAAAGAAGAAAGAGACTTGGGCTCCTCTTTCAGCTGTTTTGATCACACCCTCTATCCTTAGAGAAGTGTAAATTATTCTATTAACCCATCTCATTTCTATATGCTTATTTGTCACTTTAGCTTACCTTTCTTCCACAAAGCTTAGAAGTTTGGAAATAGTTTGGAGAGCTGAGAAAGGAAGAGATTAAGTTGTCAAAGTGGAGGGAATGGTGCAATCATTTAATTTCCTTTTACTTCCTCTATATAATCTGTTTATATCTGATAAAAAATGACTTTTGCCTTTTATATAATTCTGCTGTTGGAGTTCTTTTATGTTCCATGGAAGAGTGAGACTTAAAGACAGAATAAGATAATGTGAACAATGATCTGAAATGTTAAAAACTCTTCAGCCTGTAGGCCATTTCTAGTTGCTTACTATGTAAGGATGGTTGAAATGCAAGAGGTATATCAATCCAGGAAATATCATGGTTTGGTGAGGTTTAATGTTTGATGATATGTTGTTAATACTTTTTCATATCATAAACATTTTGTGGTAGATTTTGAAAATGAAGATGTCTATCCTTTTTTCCCCCCTTTGGTTATTATTACTTGTATCTTGATAGATATATATGTATTTGATCTATTAAACAAACTGCTGGAACCCTTCTTTCTCCTCATTCCATATCTGATCACTGACCTAGTTTTGTCCATTCTCCTTCCTACTAGCCACTAATTCAGCTGTGGCCTTGTCACATACAGACAAATTCTTTTCTTCTTGAATTACTTCCTAATTACTTTGGAAGTGGCCCATTGATAAAGATTGACTTTTATCCTCTAATGTCTCCATATAGTTTTTATAAATCCAGACAGAAAAGTGAGGAAAATTAGTATTTGTTGATTTCTTGTTGATATTTTCTTTCTTGCTTTTGGTTTTAGGTTCAGGAGTGAAGGAATTTTGCTCCAAAAATATCTTGGTCATCCTTGGCTTCTCCTGTGTCATAGCTGTGATAGCTTTGATTGCTGTGGGCGTGACCCAAAACAAACCATCGCCAGAAAATGTTAAGGTAAATAAAATACTTTGTGTGTATATGTAAGAAGGGGTCTGTGTGGGGCAAGAAAAGCAGGGTTATGGTAAACCAGAACATGCAGGTGGAGTTGAGGTTCTAGCAGCCTAGGAACACGTCAATATCCATTGGATTATGGAAGTGAAATGGAAATGGATGCTCATTCTGGAAGAAAGAATGCCTTGAATCAGTTAGTGGTGGGAAGATAATTGCTTCTATGAGTATTCACCAAAGTTATTAAATTAATACTCTAACAGAGATGAATTTTTATTTACTTCATCTGGATCCGTTATACTGTGTCAATATTCTACTTTTTAGTACTATGTACTTCTCATTCATTTTTTATGTGTGAATCACAAACTTGTACTCCTTGTTCTGTTTGCTCCAATATAATCACTATGACCAAAATATTAACCACTTTAGAAGTTAGAGATTATAGAAAAGACATGTTTCTTATCTCCTAAAATATTAAAAAGTAACAAAATCAATAAAAAAGAACCAGAAAATACATACATGTGTCAAGTACAGTTATTTAAAATGAATTCATGGATGGGAAGATTTCCTATGAAATTTTTGCATTTGAAAAACTAGTTAATATCATTAAATCTCATTAACTTCCTGTGATATATTTCTGCTTTCTTTCCAGTTCATCAAAGTAAAATTTCAGACATGAATACCTCATAAGTATCTTGTCATATGGTTATTATTTTATTTAATCTGTTAATTAAAAAGCATATAGTAAATATAAATTTATATTATAAATATCCCATTTTAAACTTTCACTGAAATTATAGTAAACAAATCTGCATGGGCCCAAATGATACCAATATGCTATTGAGCACATACAAACATGTACTTAGTGACAGATCCAGAAGTTGACTTGACCCCAGACCCTAGAATATACAAGGCATGGTGATTAAGTTCATGAACGTGCCACATGTGCTTACATTGGCAGCACTGTAAAAACAACTCAGTAAGGTTTCACAACCTTGGTATATCAATGTCTTTCATTTATGTTTGCATTGACAAGTGGCAGTGTCTTGCTTAGTGTATTCATTATTGTTGTGTGTTTTTGTGTGCCGTCATGGGAATATTGGAGCTTGAATTAGAGCAAGGAACAAACGTTAAATTTCTTGTTAAACTTGGCAAGAATGGAAGTGAAATCAGGGACATATTAGTTCAAGTTTTATGGGGATAATGCCATGAGGAAAACAGCAGTATACAGATGGATTAAATGTTTTTGTGAGGGGAGAAAATCCTCACTGATGGAGAGAGGTCAGGGTAGCTAGTACCAAGCAAAACTGAAAAAACATGGCAAAAATTTGTTGAATTGTGCATCAGAATCATAGGCTGACAGTGAGAAGCATAGCAGATGAAGTAAACATTGATAGAAAAACAGGAAAATCTTAACTGAAAATCTTGGCCAATACTCATTTTGTTTTTTAAGAGACAGAGTTTCACTTTATCACCCTCGGTAGAGTGTCATAGCGTCACAGCTCACAGCAACCTCCAACTTTTGAGCTTAGGTTATTCTCTTGCCTCAGCCTCCCAAGTAGCTGGGACTATAGGCGCCTGCCACAATGCTCAGCTATTTTTTGTTGCAGTTTGGCTGGAGCTGGGTTTGAACCCACCATCCTTGGCATATGGGGCCAGTGCCCTACACACTGAGCCACAGGTGCTGCCCAATACTCATGGTTTTTACATCACTACAATGCACCAACTCACACAGCACTGTCTGTGAGGGAATTTTTAGCTAGTAAACAAATACCCTGACTAGGCACTGGTATCAGTGAATGGTTTCCCAAGGGAAGTACTTCAAAGGTGACAATGGTGATATTCAGCAATGAGGTATGTAGCACTTATTCTAGGATGAGTTTGCAAATTTAATTGTCAGCCTTCATATATATAGAAGTATATTCTGTTGTATTTCATGATAGTGAACTGTGAGCCTGGAAAGATGCACGCAAATGCCAGACCTCTGAAATTTTTGCCACCCACTCAAATCATTTGCTGTATAGTGGAGGCATGGGTGGTATTCTTTTATTTAGTTCAACTCAATGGGGTTGTATACAGCAGCTCCTTTGTCAGAACAAAGGCTGATTCTATCTTATTGCCAATGGTCTCTTGCTTGCCTTTTAATATTGAGTGATGTTGGTTCTTTTGGCAAAACTTCACTCACAACTGACATCTTGGTTCTGCAATTTGTTTACCAGCTCCAAAAATACATGATTTCCTTCTTGATTTGACCTTTTTACATGTTCAGTATTGCATCATTGGAGAGAGTGACTGCCTAGGAGGCAAAACTCTAGATACACTTGAGCTCTGTGTTACCAGTGAATTCTTGTGGTTATTAGCAATGGTCTTCTTCAAGTCTATTGTGCCTTTGTATTATATTGGCCTTGCAAATGGAATAAGCTTTGAGCTTTTTTTTTGTTTGTTTGTTTTTAAAGACAGAGTCTTACTCTGTAGCACCAACTAGAGTGCAATGGCATTATCATAGCTCACTGAAACCTCAAACTTCTCAGCCTCCCAAGTAGCTGAGATTACATGCATGTGCCACCATACCTGGCTAAATTTTTTCTATTTTTAGTAGAGATGGTGTCTCACTCTTGCTCAAACTCCTGAACTCAAGTGATCCTCCCACACTGCCCTCTCAGAGTGCTAAGAATACAGGTGTGAGCCACTGTGCCTAGTCAGTCTTTGGCATTCTTTAAATGAAAAGTATGAATATTTCAAGAGTAGCAACTAGCTTCTGAAGTAAATCTTTATAATAATACTCCTGATTTATTTTACACAAAGATAATTTTAAATATGCCATTGAAGTTATATACAAATTTTAATGAGATTCCTGGCATATATGGGCCTAAAATATTTTGGGAACTTGTCTTCTGTGATGGCTTTAAGCTGTGCTATCCAATTTGATAGCCACTAGCAAAATGCTGCTCTTTATTTATAATTAAATAAAATGAAAAATTCTATTCCTCAGCTGCACTAGATATATTTCAAGTGCTTGATAGCTACATGTGGCTGATCACTACTATATTGGACAATGCAAACAAAGATCATTTCAGTTGCTGCAGAAAGTTCTATTGGGCACTTAACTCTGAAATCATTCAAAACTAAGTTTAACGAATAAGGTATATGATAAAATATTTTTATGAAAATCTAGAATAAGGATAAAAAGACAAGAATTCTTTTTCTTGCATAGTTTGTAAACTATAATAGTACTAGGATCTTCTCCAATATCATAGGCTACTAAATTATTTTGTATAGTTTGTTGGAATATATTTGTTTCCAAAAGTGACTGTTTAAAAGATAATACCTATTTGGATATTCATATCTGGTATATTTGTTTTAGAAACACATAATGATATCACTTTGTGACCATACCTCATTCAGCAGTTTTTCATTCATTTTTTATAACTTTATGCATCATCAAGTATTTATTAAGCATCTAGGCTACCCAATTTGATTGAGGTTACTGTCTGGGGTAGGAAACACAATAAATGGATAACATAAATTATTAATTATAATTGTGATGAAATACTACCAAATGAAAGTTTAGGGGCCAGGCAAGCCTTATCTGAAATAATGACATTAATAATAATATCTGAAGGATAATTGGAAGTTAGCTGGGTAAAGAGTATTCCAGGTAGAAGGAAAGCAAGTACATGAGTCTGGAAACAGGCAGTAGTTAGACACCTTCTGGAAACTAGTTGGAGAGCAGGAACAGGCTGTGTGTTAGGTAGAGATCATGAGGTAGGTGATGTAGGCAGAGTCCTGAAAGATAAGCTGAGAATTTTAGTTTTAATCCTAGTAGTAGTGGGAAGCTAGTGACATGATCAGATTTGTGCTTTGCAAAGATTACTGTGGCTTCAATGAATTAGAGAGGTATAAGAGCAGATGTAGGAGGAGACCAGCAAGAGACTCCAACAGAAGTTTAGAAGGAGGGTAACATTTTGAGTTCAATTTTTTTTAAGAATTGTTTTGAATATTGGACATCCAAAAGGAAAGCAGCTGAGTAATCTATATGGACCTCTCTTTTCTGAGCAAGTATCTACTGCACTGCCCAATAGAATATAATACAATTAAAATAGCAACTCAAAGTACTATTCAAAAAAATAAAAAGGAATATAATGCAAGCCACATGTTAAATTTTCCAAGAGCCACATTTTAAAAAGTAGAAGTAAACTTAATTGTAATAGTGTGTAACTCAATACATCCAAAACATTTCAACATTTAATTAGTATAAAGAATTGTTAGTGAGATTTTTACATTCTTTTTTCATACTATCTTCAAATTTCGTTGTCATTTTAAACTTACAGCATAACTTGAGATGAGTCACATTTCAAGTGCTCAATAGCCCGCTAGTAGTTACCTACAAGAAAGCACAGATGAAAGATGTCTCTTTAAATGTCTTAACACAGTAACTAAGAAAATGACATGAAGGCTATGTTAACCAGTTTGATGAAAATATTTCAAATTGTATATGAAAACACCACACTGTACCCCATGATTGCATTAATGTACACATGATTTAATAAAAAAAAAAAAAGAAAGATGTCTCTGATGGAATTGATGTACTAAAGCCTTAGAAATGGATGAGGACATCTAGGAAGGGGGTATAAAGTGAGAAGAGCGTCAAGGACTCTCCTGAGGAGCTCTGTCATTTAAAGGGTGAATAGTAAAGGAATTCTTCCTTGAGCATAATGACAACATTGCTTTATATGGTGCATTATAATTATAAATAATTTCCACACACATATCCATTCTTCCCCCATGAGTGCTATGAGGAATGAAAGGTTATTCTCATTTTGTAGATAATAAAATCAGAGTCTTAGAGGTTCTCTTGTCCGAAGAGGAGGTGGAACTAAAACTAGAACCTGGTTTTCTGAAAGAATGATTAATGTTCTTTTCATTTGTCTTAGTGCGCTTTTGCAAACAACACATCCTAATAACAGGAATTGCATGCAGGATACTTATTTTGGGGAGTAAACGGG